TCAGGAGGCGGAGGTTGCAGTGACCCAACATCGCGCTGCTGCACTCCAGCCTGGGCGACAGAGCAAGACTCCGTCTCCAAAAAAAAAGAGAAAAGTATACACCCTGCTTCTTAGGGAAAAGGGAGATGGGGAAGTGTGGATGATTTTGGGGGGATGGTAAATGATTTTTAAGGGAATTCAGTGGCATTGAAGAACATACAATGGTCTGTGACAAAGTCAGGCCCAGGAAGTGGACAGTGCATTGTGACAAAATGTCCAGGCTTGTTGACAGTCTTCAGTCTTCCTTCCTGTGATATGAATTGGGTTTTTTGATACATGTACGTAAATAATAGAGATGGGACCTGCCATGTTGCCTAGGTTGGTCTGGAAATCCTGGCCTCAAGCAGTCTTCCTGCCTTGACCTCCCAAACAGGATTATAGATGTGAGCCATCACGCCTTACTGTGAGTTCAGTTAATGAAAACAAAGGGACGGCGCCAGAGGTACTTGGGGAGCAATTTTTCTCCTTGGCAGGTCTGTCCAGTCTTCATGGAGGTAGGGAAAAGTGTCTTCTACCATCTGCTGATCCCCAACGGCCTTTAATACAAAATACCATACCAGAGAGCCATATTTTGGGTGAAGTTCCCTGTGGCCCTTCACCACTCACAGACGGCTGGAGCAAGTTTCCAAAGCCTTTTCAGCCATTCCTGGACATGCAGCCCCCATCTAGCAACTACAAATACAGAGTACCCAGCTACGTCTGAATTTCAGATAAATAAGAAATTTAGTGTAAGTACATCTGGTGCAATAATTAGGAAATACTTATACTAAAACATTATTCATTGTGCATCTGGGATTCACATTTAACTGGGCATCCTGTGTTTCTATCCAGCAACTTTACTGCCAGGCTCACTGTCAGGGTCCCTCCCCCTTTTCCTTTTTCCCAACAGGAAATTATATTTTGACAATATCTTGGATTATTTTCAAAACATTATCTCACTATTTACAGTAATGTGTTTATTCTTTTTAAAAAGAATATCCCCTTAAATGAGAGCACTGTTTCCTCAAATAGTCTGGTTGGAAGAAGAGCCTGGGGTCCTGGACCCCAACTCAGACCAACCAGATCAGAACCTCCAGGTAACAGGCTCGGGAACCCGTGTTTACAGCAAGTGCCTCAGTGATGCCATCACACAGGAAAGTCTGGGAAATGCTGGAAGAGAGGCCACCTCTCTGCTCCAGAGAACACAGTAGATCAGTCCCACCGGGAGGTTTGGTCTCCGCTGGGTGGGAGGAGTCTCTTGGCCCATGGTAAGTGTTCCATGAACCTCTGTGGGCTGAATGCCAGGCAAGAGCACACATATAGCCCAGGCTGTGGGGACACGTTGGGGCCGGTTGCCCTCCAAGGGGATGCCAGGACCCCACAAATGACCTCTAGGGGTCTCACTGCCGTCTCCTGAGACCACCCAGGACCCTGCCTCCCACTTACGCTTCTCCAGTCTTGGTGCTGTGGGACTCCTTGCCACTTTTCTTTGAATTCTTGGGTTTCTGTGCTTAGCCTTTTAAAATCATTAGAGGTAAAATGTTCTTTTAAACTCCTCTAAAAGTTTTCTGCTCTATTTTTCAATACTACTTCATTATTCTCCATCTTAAACATCTCTCCCCACCTCCAATCAAAGACATGTTCGTAATCCTGCCTTTTTAAATGTGAACTTTTACTGAAATATAATGTAAATTTAGCAAAGTGCTTGAATAAGTGTACAAATAAAAAGAATTTCCAAAAGGTACAGACGTGTTTATCAGCAGCACATTACTGAGCACAACCTGGAAACCCTCAGTATCCCCTTTCTAGTCTCAAGCGCCCCTTCTGAGAGACCCTCCTCTGGAGTCCTAACTTCATACATTAGTAGTTTTACCACTTTTTGAACTTCACATAAATTGAACCACTCAGCATGCATTCTTTAGTGTCTGTCTCCTCCCACATAACCAAGTGTTCATGGGATTCCTCTGCATCCAGAAGACTGCAATGAGTCCACACTAGCTGCTTACCATCCCCCACTGCAGGGATACAAGTTCTGCTCTTGATGGACATTTAGTTTGCTTCTAGTTTTTTATTCTTACAAATCGTATTTTTGTATGTCTTTCAGTGAAGGTATCTATGTATTTAGGAGAATTGCTGGGTCACAGTGTGTGTGAATGTTTAACTTTAACAGATAATGTCAAAAAGTTGGACAAAGTGAAATTTATATTTCCAGCAGCAAAGGCCCCAAATCCCACTAGCTCTGCGTCCTTGCCAACACCGGGTGCTGTCATTTTTATAGTAGCCATCCAGGTGGGTGCACAGTCCTACTTTTCTATTAAATACAATTTTTTTGCACAGTAATCACTTGAAAAAGAAACATCCAGACTGAAACAGGAAAGGTCTGAAAAAAGGTGAGATTCCAGTGGCTGAGAAAGTGAGCATGAGGAAAGAGCATGCCTCTGGGGTCAGCTCAGGTCCAGGGGACAACAGGTGATGGTGATAATAATAAGTGGTTGTTAACTGTTCCTACGTGGGAAGTGCTGCTCAACACACATTTTTAACATTTTTGACAACCTTAACGGATAACTACTATTACTTTCACTTTACACATGAGACACAGGGATGTTACATAACTTTCCCTGGGTTCCCAGCTTAATTATGTTTTTCCTCTCATTAAGCACACACAATTCTTTTCTTCTCTTTTCTTTTTTCTTTTCTTTCTTTATTTTTTTAGACGGAGTTTCGCTCTGTCTCCCAGGCTGGAGTGCAGTGGCGTGATCTCGGCTCACTGCAAGCTCCACCTCCCGGGTTCACGCCATTCGCCTGCCTCAGCCTCCCGAGTAGCTGGGACTACAGGCGCCCGCCACCATGCCCGGCTAAATTTTTTTTTTTGGGGGGGGTTTTGGGGTTTTTTTTCGTATTTTTAGTAGAGACCGGTTTTCACCATGTTAGCCAGGATGGTCTCAATCTCCTGACCTCGTGAATCCACCCGCCTCAGCCTCCCAAAGTGCTGGGATTACAGGCATGAGCCACCACGCCCAGCCCTATTTTATTTTATTTTATTTTATTTTATTTTATTTTATTTTATTTTCCTCTCTAGGTTACCCAGCTTTAAACGAAACTGCCCACGGTCTTTCACGAAGCATACAACACTTTTGACTGATTTCATCTGCTCACAAGAGGGGCAGGGTGGTCCACACTGGTGATTTGCCTCTTGTCCCAGGTTCAAACAGTGTCAGCCGCTGATTTCTCCAGCTGGCTGGGAACTTATTCACAGTGATTCTCAAACTTGAACTGTGAGCTTTGTAAACCATGTTAAGTACACATTCACATTCCAAGGCTCCAGCCTTTCCTCCCTTAGATTCTGCTTGAGTAGGTCAGGAATGGAGTTAGGACCCATTTGTAACAAGGTCCCCTGGGAATTGCTATATAAGCAAGGATGGTCTGATTGAGGCAGTGTGGGGTTTGGAAATGTCTACTCCAAGGAGCCTTGAAGCCAAGTAACCAGAGATTGCTGCAGGCAGCTGGAAAAGGCAGCACTGAGGGGAGGCTTAGGGTCGTGCCTCCTCATCCATCCTGGAGCAGGTGGGTGTAAATGCATTTAAGTTTTACTTTTTAAATACATACATATGCACAGAAATGTATGTGTGTACATGTTCAACTTTCATAGACAATGCCATATATGTACACACATACATATGTACATACATATAGTCTATCCACATTAGTCATGGATTCCACATTTGCAAAGTCACCTACTCTCTAAAACGCATTTGTAACCTTAAAACTGAGTACTCGTGGTGCTTCTGTGGTCATTTGCAGACATGTGCAAAGCTGTGAAAAACGTGAGTTGCCTGACACGCAGTTCCCTGCCGAGGTCAAACAAGGCAAGGCTCTGCCTCTTGTTCTTTTCTTGGTCCATTTAGTGCCACATCTTTTGCATTTTGTGCTTTCGGGTGGTGATTGTGCTGTTTAACGTGGTCCCCAGGCATAGTGCTGAAGCGTTGTCTAATTGTTCCTAAGTGCAGGAAGGCTGTGATGTGCCTTCCGGAGGAAACACACTTGTTAGAGATCCCTCATTCAAGCATGAGCTACAGTGTTATCCAGTGTTCAAGGTGCATTTATAGGACACAGCTACTGCCAGCTTCCCAGCCAGACTGAGAGCTCAGGGTGTGGGCAGCGCCTCCTTCCTGCATTTGTACCTCCAGTGCTGTTCAGCTTCAGCGGAACCTGGGGAGCACCGCCCTCGGCGGGCTGAGCTTCCAAAGGCTCTACAGCCACATGGGGCCTTCCCTGTACCCACAGAGACTAGCAGGGAGCTCTTCTTCAGCCACTCGTGCAGCCTGGACTCCCCACCGCCTGCGAACCCTCTCCCGTGTAAAAGCTAGTAGGAACCAGAAGGGAAGGAAAAACAGTCACGGAGCTTAAATTCACGTGTGCCTTTTTCAGTGCAAATATTTCAAGGAACTTATGTTCATACGAAGGTTTTCTGCGTTATAGATGGGCAATGAATCCAAATGTTCTTTCTGGGCTAAGCTGGTTAGAGAAACATCAGCCACATCGAGAGAGCACCTCTGTCCTTGGTGACCAGCTGGGCTTTGTGATCCCCGGTAGGGCCAAGCCAGCATGCAGGAGGGATGCAGGGAGCACCCCAGGCCCAGTGGATAGCCGGCTACAGCTAAGTGAAGGGTCCCTGCAGGGAGCAGAAGGCAGGCTGTGAACTCTTGGCAATTCTCCCAGTGTCCCTCTGATACACAGTTAACCTGCTAACAACAAAGTAGATCTTGGGTGTGAATATCGGGGATCCTCCATGTTTTTTTCCCTTGTGATCCTTTAAAAAATTATGTAATCTGAGCTGAGACAGAAAGATATTTCCTGCTTTTAGCTGAAATAGGTCAAAAGACTCTTGCTGTAAGAATTGTTTGGTGCTGTCCATTCTGAGTGATGGAACAGTGGGGAGGTGTTGCTAAGCAACACTGCACATCCTTCCGAAGCCATCATCTCCTAGCAACAGGCAGCAGGGTGCGACCCCCCTGCTGTGCGAGCCACAGCGGGTGTGCTGCCTGAGGCCCGTTTCACTCCCCTCTGATCACGGGCATTCACTCTTGCGACAGCTGGACTTCTTGAGCGCCTACAAATCCCCTTACCAGGAACCAGGGATACAGAAATTCCAAGTTGAGGTCTCTGCCTTCAGCGGGAGTCCAGCGGGGAAACAAACAAAAAACGGTATCATCTCAACAGTTGACCTCAGAATTCTTCATCAGGAAGGCACTGGCTTTATTTAGGAAAGATCTTGATAAACTTCTGCAGCACGGCAATTTGGTTCACGAGGGCATGGATGTTGTCAGAGACAGGGATTGGTGGTTGGAGTTCCTGAAAGAGAGGGGAAGAGAAGGCAGGACGTGCACAGGTGGCCCAGCTGTGAGAAAGCCTGGCTGGAGGGCCGCTTTGAACAGTGATACGGATTTTTAAGTGCTTTGCTTTTAAAAGTACCTCCAGTGACCCATAAAGCTTCAGTAAACATTCTGTGGCTCCCAGCAGAATTCTGTTCACTGTTACCACGGAAGCAGTGATCAAAGAGAAGGGGCTCTGTTGGGTGCATGCCGTGGCAGAGGTCAAGGAAAAGCCATGGATAGAGACAAAGAACAGCTTGACCCAGGCTGAAAATTGGCACAAAGGCGACCTTGAGAACACAAGCCTCATACCCCCAAAATTCAGAGAAACGTCGGGCAGGACACTGACTCCAGTCTGAGAAGCTGGGTGGTGGGATCTGAATTGGTCCTATCCAGGTCTGAAGGGTGGGGAGCCCCCACCGACTCCTGGCTGTCTGGTGACAAAAGTGAGGGGAGGAGCTTCCAGTTCTGCCTGGGAGGCAGGGAAAGGTGCTCAGAAGAAGCGATGCCAAGCAAACTCCCACAGGAGGAGACAGGAGGAGGTGCTGATGAGAGGGCTCCAGCCAAGCAAAGGCAGCAAAGGCCCATCTGCCCATCGGGTGTCAAACCTCTGAACATGGAGAAGTTGTCATTTAGGGAGGTGTGGGGCAAAGGTGGAAAACCTCAGACATGACACCCCAGCTTCGGAAAAAGACTACATTTTTTTCTCAAATTCAAATCTCACACCAGGATGGCCCTGTCTACCTCCAAAAGTGGTGCCGTATCCAGAAATAGATGATGGCTGGATGGATAGACAGACACCAAAGAGAAACCCATTACCCTCTCTCAAGAAGATTGCCTAAGAGCGTGTTCCAGAGCAGCCTCCGATGCTGGGCGTGGCAGAGCTCACAAAGGACTCAACTTTTCAAAATTCACACCGTGCTATCTGGCCTGCTGCGTCAGTTTGCAAAGCACTTGTGTTGTTAGTATCTATCTGGCTTGCCTCCTATTTCAGGGTGACAAAAACCTACTTCTTGTCCCTGGCAGTGCACAACGCCTCCTTCAGTAAGTTTCCTGTCCTGTGGTGGTTGCCCTGTGGTGGTCTGCCAGCTTCCCTGTGTCTGCTCTGCCTCAGTCATCTCAGGGTGTAGGCAAAGCCGACCCTTCTACCTGGCAGTGCTAAACTAGGACAAAGTTTGCTTAACAACACTGAGCAGTCCGCCCCACGGATGGGTGCGTTCAATGTGTCTGCACTTGCCAGGTACATCCGGCTTCTGCTTCAGGACAATTACAGGGCACTCTGCAAAATTACTTACTGAGTTGGAGTGCCTGAGAGCACTTCCATTGTGACAGTGGAGGAGGGCGCTGGGAAAGCGCCTTTAAAGGGCGATGGAGGTGCTAACGGAGAGCCTGGCTCCCAGGCTCTCCCACACCCTCCAGGGCATGTGGGTGGATGTGGAAGTCAGCAAAAAGCAAGAACTTCTCCCAGCGCATGGGTATGGCGCTGGAAGAGGGAAGGGCATGGGGGCCGTCTGGCTCTGGTCCCACCAGCTGGTTGGGAAAGGCTTCTCATGAGCACTTCACACACAAAGCAAGACTGATGGATGTTACGAGGAGCCACCTTGCACGCCGGTGTCTGTTGAAGGAATGGACAGCGCAGGTGCATAGATCCAGTCTTCCTCACTGGCTATGGTGTTCTTGCTGATCCACATGCTCCCTCTGTTCTTACAGGAACCAAACAGTCCATTTCGAGGTGGAACCTCACAACAGCTCTCTGGGCCCTCCCAGACACACCCCGGGGTGGGGACGGGAGTGTGCTCTGGGACTGGGACTGCCTGGGGTTGTTCTGTTCCACAGTTGTCAAACAGACCCACCCTCAGCAGAGAGGCAGGGCGAGGAAGGCAAAGGAAGGAAGGAGGCCTGGGCTACCACTGAGGTTGCCACAGTTTCTTTTTTTCTTTTTCTTTTTTCTTTTTTTTTGAGACAGAGTTTTGCTCTTATTGCCCAGGTTGGAGTGCAATGGTGCGATTGATCTCAGCTCACTGCAACCTCCGCCTCCTGGGTTCAAGCGATTCTCCTGCCTCAGCCTCCCAAGTAGCTGGGATTACAGGCGCCTGCCACCACACCCAGCTAATTTTTGTACTTTTAGTAGAGACGGGGTTTCACTCTGTTGGCCAGGCTGGTCTCCAACTCCTGACCTCAGACAATCCACTTGCCTCAGCCTCCCAAAGTGCTGGGATTACAGGCATGAGCCACCACGCCCGGCCAGTTGCCACAGTTTCCATCTCTGCTAAGGGTTTGGCCTCTGCCTTTGTGGATTTGCTTCAGAAAGTGGTGCTGTTAGTATACCAGGACGGAAGGTGTCTGTGGGAAATTAATTCGCACTCACAGGACTTGTAAGCCAGAAGGCTGGTTTCCTTGTTGACGGTGGGAGGCATAAAGATGACCTCGCCTGTGAGCCCGGTCCGAGAACTTTGCACTTTGCCAAGCTGTCCTTCGAGTATAACGGTGACAGACAAACATTCTCCAAGATCAGAGGGAGACAGCACCCAGGGCCCTTTCAAAATGTAGCTGAACATAGTGAGATCCTGTCTCTACAAAAAGTAAAAATACAAACTTAGCTGGGCATGGTGGCACATGCCTGTGGTCCCAGCTTACCACGAGGCTGAGGTGGGAGGATCCTGTAAATCCAGGAGTTCAAAGCTACGGTGAGCTATGATTGCACCATTGCACTCCAGCCTCGGTGACAGAGACAGACCCCGTCTCTAAAAGAAAAAAAGTAGCTGAAAATGAAGTCTGGCCAACTAAGAGATGAAGCAAAATAAGAAATGAAGTGAGGGAAAGGCCATGGGGAAAAGACTGGTAAGAGAGATGACTCCATGTAAGCAAATAGTTAAATCTAGACTATGGAAGAAATTGTGGTTTCAGAATAAAATGTAAATCTTGACAGTAGAAAGCTAGCAAACTCAGGGGGCTGAGGAGAGGAGGGAAGAGGAAATGTAAGAATGCCAATTTCCTTATTCATAACAAGGAGTTAGTAGCTACTGCCTATAATTAAAACATATAAAATAATTGCTACTTATTAATATTTTTCATAAACCCTTTCCTTAATTTTAGCAAGTTATTTTATAAACTAGTATTTTTTTTCTTTTTTCTTATTTTTGTTGTTTTGACACGGGGTCTCATTCTGTCACCAAGGCTGGAGTGCAGCAGTGCAGTCACAGCTTACTGCAGCCTCACAACCTTCTGGGCTCAAGCAATCCTGCCTCAGCCTCCCAAGTAGCTGAGACTACAGGTACATGCCATCATGCTCAGTTAATTTCTTTTTTTCTTTTTTTTGTAGAGACAAGGTCTTGCCATGTTGCCCAGGCCAGTCTTGAACTACTGAGCTCAAGCGATCCTCATGCCTCACCCTCCCAAGTACCTGGGACCACTAGTATATTTTGTGATGAGGAAATAATTTCTTTGAAATTCAGCAATTTCTACCATTTTACTTCATTTGGCAGGGGGGATTGTTAAATTCAAGTACAATTATCCTCAACATTTTTTGTTTAAAGTAGGACATAGACACTAATCATAAAATAAGAAGCTGTCATCAAGAAACAGTTGTCATCAAGAAACAATATTAAAGGAGTTCAGGGGGAGGCCAATAGGATGTGAAAGGTATTTGCAACATAATACTAACAAAGCAATGAGAAAAAAGGTAAACCTACCCAGTAGAAACAAATTGGGTGAAAGATTTGAACAGGCACTTCACAAAACAGATAGTATCTTAATTGGCCAATAAATACACGGAAAGGTGCTCAACCTCATTAGTCTTCAGAAAAATGCAAATGAAAACCACAAGAAACTATGGTAGCGCACTCAGAATAGCTAAAATGAAGAGGGGGAAAACCTGACAATATCAAGTGTAGACAATGGAGATCCCTGGAGCTCTCATGCATTGTTGATAACAGGGTAAATGGGTATAGCTAGCTGGGAACACTGTTTGTTCCCCTCCCCACCTCTCCTCCCTCTCTCTTTCTCCTTCTTCCACCCACCACCATGCCCAGCTAATTTTTGTATTTTTAGAAGAGACAGAGTTTCACCATGTTGGCCAGGCTGGTATTGAACTCCTGACCTCAGGTGATCCACCTGCTTCAGCCTCCCAAAGTGCTGGGACTACAGGCATGAGCCATCACACGCAGCCCCCATCCACAACTTTCTTTAGCTCTCTTTCCCCTACTAATTTCTGATGCTGCCCAAATCAAAAAGGTCAGGTAAAGCAAGGCAAAACAGAACAGAGCCTTAGATTTTGAGAGGGACCTGTCTGCTTACAGCTCTTGGGGTTCCATGAGGAAAACAGAGGTTTCTCCCAAAATGGGGTCTGTGGCACCTTCTGTTTTTCCCAAAGCACCCCAGGTTGTCAGAAATTACCTTAGGTCCTCTCATGTAGGCAGTAAGAGTGGCAACAAGACACACTACGGAAATAATTCAGTCTACTGGGAAGAAAAAGAAACACTTAGTACTGTGCCCATTGTAAAGATGGATAAACTGAGACACCATGCAGTTTAAAAATTCATGTTCACATAGAGTTAGGCTCCACAGCTCACTCTTCACCATCCTGTCATTCTGCTGACTCTATGCCCGGTCACCGAGGCACCTGTATGGTAGCTAATGGCCCCCTTAGAGCTTAGAACCTGGGTTTCATTCTGCTCTACAGCTATGTAATTTAACAATTTTCCTCTGAATTTGTTGGATTCTAACTCTATATATCTCAAATTTTATTATTTCTGAATCTCAAGAGGGGCTGTGATGTCTTTAGTAATATCAAACAACCTATAAACAAAGGACTAAATGAGGTTTAATAGTATTCAAATTTCTATATGCTTTAAAACATTGAGGCAATGTATTGAGAAACACACCTAAGAAACTGCAACCAATCTACCCTGGACAAAAATTTAGACACTATGTCTTCAAAATAAGCTAGCTATTGATACTTATGCATATTTGTATATATATCAACAGTATTTTACATATCATAACCTTAAAATAATTTAAAAGTGTCAAAATTACAGCCCGTATACATTTTTGTGGTCTTGAAAGAAATGATACAATATACCTGTTTCTTTAAAGTAGTCAATAAAATGCATAAACTTCTAGAGTAATCACTTAAAAAAAGAATTCATACCGAAGGTAGTAATACGTAACACTAGGAATAAAAGAGGGCCCAACGCTGCAGGTTCTTAAAGACAAAAGTTACTAAAGTCTTGTTTTCGGTTATTAACTTTGGCCTTAAAACAATTATATACATAATCCTCCCCTTCCTGTTCTTGTTGCAAAGATGTGGTGATGAACCAGGTTTGCTCATGCAGATGACAATACTCTTGAAAATGGTGGCAGAGAAATAAAATGAAGGGGATATGGTTCACTTAATGATCTCATAAAGTGGAACTTATTACCCACTCTGCCTCTTGTGTATCTCCAGACCAATATGTGAGAGAGATGAAATGGCTGTTTGCTACCAATATTTTAGTTGATGCTTCATTTTTTGATTCCTTGAATAACAACTTACAATGCATTAACAGAATCAGGAAAGCATAGCTATTCAAGGAACTAAATAATTCTGCAACTAATTTTTTTCCTCTTCTCTAAAACATGGTAATGGACCGATTATTTTTAAAATGCAACACACTGACAAGTAGTTTATTTTTAACTCAGTTTTGGTTTGTTGTTTGTTAAGGCCATTGCTTGGGGAAAAGAAAACAAAAGAGGAGGAGGAGGAGGAGGAGAAGGCGAAAGTATAGAAACAAGAAATAGAAGCACCAGCATAAGCAAATGAAGAGGAACTAGATGATGGTGATGAGAAAAAGAAAAAACAGACTGGAAGAAAGGAGAAAAAACAGGTGAGGAAATCAGATGGCCTATAAGATTCCATTTTTCCCCTTCCCAATTCATGAAATGTGAAAAAGTCCAAGACCACCAACAAAAAACAAGCAAAAAGATACACCCCCTAAAGAGTCACCCCTTAAATTTTGTTAAGAATGAGATAATGCTCCACTCATGCCTGGTTTGGGTGCCAGCAGGAGGAGGGCACCCTCCAGATTCTCTAGGAGAAGGGGGAGGACTCCTCCTTGTCCTGGCTGCACCTCCACCAAGGCCCATGGTACAACACCCACAGCTTCCTACCTACCCCAGGCCAGCCGGACCCTGAAGTTCCCACTCCCCTTTCCCGGCCCCCAGACTTGCTGTTGCTGCCACCACTGGCAGCGATGCCAATACAACCACCGCTGCTGTCGCCCTCAATGCACTGGCCCTCCCTACAAAGCTCCTACTACATGGCTGCTGCCACAGCCCTGTGGCCACAGCCGGCCACCTCCTACTGCTCCGGCACGCTGCAGTCTCTGTCACCACCACCAACCCATAGCGAGGCAAGCCACGGGGCCATAGGCTCCAGCCTCCAGCCTCCAACATCCGGCAGGTGGATCCTCCTTCTCCTGGCAGAAAGCAGCAGGGCAGGCAAAGCCAGAAAAACCTGGAACAGGATGCAGAAAGTGGTAGCATTAGAGCATCACCCTATCATGCTGTCCACTGGGTGGCAGGAGCCGGTTTCAGTGAAGGCACTCACATTGACCCTCCAAAGTCCGACGTCTCCTTTTGGCCCAAGCTGGCCAGGTACTGGGGCCTGGGGTGGGGACTAGAGACACTATAATGCCCAGCTCCCCACTCTACAGGAACCACTGGGCCCACTGGGGTTGCACTGCTTGGGGAGCAGGAGCAGAAGAAACTCAGACCCAGCCACCCCCAAACTGAAGTGCGGTTGCCATTCCTGATGCCTCAACCCACAGGGCCCCGTCCCCTTATAATCCCCCTGACTCCAGGCCCAGAGCCCCCAGGTGGTCTCTGCAAAACAGAGGAAGAGGGTGCAAGCCCTGGGCCCACAGCAGGTGTGGGGACCCTGTCATGCTCAGGATTCCTGTGGAAACACTGTGCACCCCACTGGTTTCCCGCAGCAGCAGCAGCAGGAGGAGGTCAGCCTCTAGAGTTTGGAGACTGGGGAGAGGACAACAGCTACTGCCTTGGAGGCCACTGCTGTCACTGCTGCCTCTGCCACCCGCCGCCGGCAGGGCAGTCCCCGATAGCGCCCTTAATCCTCATAGCCTCCGATACCGCCCCCAGCCCAACCTCTGCCTTGGGCAGTTATGCCCCAGTTAACACACCCAACCCACTCCCCCATGAGCTGCTGTGGGTACTGCAACCTAGATAGTACTCCCAACTGGCCCCCCCCCAGGGCAGTCCAGTCCCCAATAGCACCCCCAACCAATCCCCACCCCCACCCCGCCACAGGCAGTATAGCCTCCAATAGTGCCCCTAACCTGTCCCCCACCATGGAGCATAGGCCTAGAGGTTTTTGTCTCATCCAATCACAACATGTAGTCCAGGACGCTCATTTGCACATTTTCAGAATGTGAAGGATGCTAAGGGGGCGTCACCCCATTCCAGGCTCTTCTGCAGCTGTAGACCAGCTACTCTGTGCCTGGCTTAGAGGAGGAAGAGAAGGAACCATCTGCCACACCCTGGAGGCTGGAGCCTGTGGCATCGCGGCTCGCCTCACTGCAGTTGCTGTCTGCGACAGAGACTGGAGTGTGACCAGAGTGGTAGAAAGGGGGTGGGGTAGGTGCAGGGGGTGGGGTAGGTGCACTATCGGAGGCTGCACTGCCTGTGGTAGGGGGCAACTTGGGGTCGCCTGATGCCTGCAGTGTGGAGCAGGTTGGGGGTGCTATCCAGGGCATGGGAGATGGGGCGGCTCGTTGGGGGTGCTATCTGTGGATGTACTGCCCATGGCAGGGAGCAGGTTAGGTACGCTATCCTGGGTCTCACCTCCCATGGCCCTGAGGGAGGGGTCCAGGCCTAGGCCACCGGCCAGGGAGCCAGAGAGCCAGAGGCGGTGAGGGATGTCAGAACCTTGGAGGTTATCTTGAGGCCTTCTCTGGTTTAGATGTATTTTCTCATTCATGAATGTAGGAACATTGCCTAACAGGCATTCATAGTGGCCGTTCGGAATTCTAGTTGTAGCAGGGGTTAAGAGAGTTCTAGTAGTTCCATGTGTCTTCTTTCAAAAAATGTTTATTCAGATCTTCTGTTCATGTTTAAACTGGATTATTTTTGGTTTTCTGGAGGTTTTCTGGTATTGAGTTGTTTGAGCTTATTATATATTCGGGTTTTGAATCCCTTCAGGGGTGGAGAGTTTGCAAATATTGTTTCCCCTTCTGTGTGTCATCTCCTTTCTTTGTTGTTTCTTTTGCTGTGCTAAAAGATTTTTAGGATGACAGAATTCCATTTGTTTATTTTTGCTTTGGTCTCCTGTGCTTTTGAAAACCAAAAACTTTTGCCTAGACCAGCATCCTGGAGTGTTTCCACAATGTTTTTTTCTAATAGTTTCATGGTTTCTGGTCTTCAGCATAACTGTTTAATCCATTTGATTTTATTTTCATGTATGATGAGAGATAGGGGTCTAGTCTCATTCTTGTGCATGACGTTTCCCCATTGTATGTATTTTGTTGGTGTCTTTGTCAAAGATGAGTTAGCTGTAAGTCTGTGCATGTATATCTGGGTCCTCTATTCCCTTCCACTGATCTCTTTGTCTGTTTTCAGGACATGGCCATGCAGATTTGGTTACTACAGCTTCCCAGTACATTTTGAAGTCAAGTAGTGTGATAACTCCAGCTTTATCCTTCCCATTCATGAATGCAAGATCATTGGCTAAGAAGTGTTTATAATGGCCCTTTCTGATTTCTAGTCCTAGCAATGGACTGGGAGGGTTCCAGTGGTTCCATGTGCCTGCTCTCATTTTGTATCTCCCAGTATCAAATACTTATTTGGTTTCATTTGCTTTGACATTTATTTTCTATATTGTTTGTAACGTTGATAAGCAAAACTGGCCTATAGTCATCAAATTATCTTTAAATTGGATCATTGCCTTCATTTTGCTTTCTGTATGTAAATTGTTGCTTTCTTCTCTTTCCTTAGATTGCATTAGAACGTGACACATCCATTCCGTCTTCATTTCTCATATGTGCACACTGAATGCACAGCCTAGCATCCCACTTTCTCTGGTAGCCCCTCAGCAGCGCTGTACAGTGTTGCCTGCGAGATTTTCATTGCTGTTTCTTTTTTTTTTTTTTTTTTTTTTTGAGACGGAGTCTCGCTCTGTCACCCAGGCTGGAGTGCAGTGGCCGGATCTCAGCTCACTGCAAGCTCCGCCTCCCGGGTTCACGCCATTCTCCTGCCTCAGCCTCCCGAGTAGCTGGGACTACAGGCGCCTGCCACCTCGCCCGGCTAAGTTTTTGTATTTTTAGTAGAGACGGGGTTTCACTGTGTTACCCAGGATGGTCTGGATCTCCTGACCTCGTGATCCGCCCGTCTCGGCCTCCCAAAGTGCTGGGATTACAGGCTTGAGCCACCGCGCCCGGCCTGCTGTTTCTTTACATAGGTGTCATGCCTTCTGTGATGTATTGACTTGAGAATACTTTGTAGTTTTCAATTTTCGAAGCATATATGCTTTGAGGTGATGATTTTACTGCATTTTTCTAGGATAAACAATTATCCACAATCCACTGTCAGGCATTCACCCCTGATGAAACCCACTAAGCTAAAACTAACAGGAAAATGTTTTAATTATATTTTCATAGTACAAAATAATTAAACTGAGGCAGGCAGAAAAAAGTAAGAGAATCCACATAACCATAGTTTACATCACTTTAAATGTTGGCAGCTCCACATGCTGAAAATGAACCCGGGTCCTGCAACTGCAGGCTTCATTTCTCCTCCCAAACACACAGTCTGTATGATGTGTCCAACAAGAACATCTCTTGGGCTCTCGCCCCCTGATTTGTTAGTCACAAACACCGTGATGTTTGAAATCGCCCATTTCTGTAGATCTACGGCCAGTCCTCCCATTCCAAAGGCTCACTGCAATTGTTCCTCAGCCCTCTTCAGACTGGATTTCTGGCTTCTTCTTTCCCTCTGACCCTGAATTCAGAAGAGTTTCTTCTGAGGTCCTCTTACTCCTTCAGCTTCTCCTCCTCCTGCTTGAGGAGTGCTTTGAAGTGCTCTTTATTTTCCAGGTGCCACTGTTTCTTGGCCTTCTTCACCCTCTGACTGTGAACTATACTCAGAGCGTCCAGCAGTGCAAGGACCTGACAGGGACAAAACCTGGTAAGCATCAGAATACTCTCACAGACACCGCACACTCCCATCCAGGCACCTCAGCTGACGGAATCCAAGATAGAGGCAACCCGGGATCCAAATGAATGTTAATGACTTAAAAATGCATCCTGAGGCCGGGCGCGGTGGCTCAAGCCTGTAATCCCAGCACTTTGGGAGGCCGAGACGGGCGGATCACGAGGCCAGGAGATCGAGACCATCCTGGCTAACACAGTGAAACCCCGTCTCTACTAAAAAAATACAAAAAACTAGCCGGGCGAGGTGGCGGGCGCCTATAGTCCCAGCTACTCGGGAGGCTGAGGCAGGAGAATGACGTAAACCCGGGAGGCAGAGCTTGCAGTGAGCTGAGATCCGGCCACTGTACTCCAGCCCGGGCGACAGAGTGAGACTCCGTCTCAAAAAAAAAAAAAAAAAAAAAAAAATGCATCCTGAGCTAGGAAATCATTGTTGGCGTGGAAATACAGGTGTGAGCGTATTTACTTTTACCACAAAACCACCTCTGTTCATCATCACTCTATGGGCTCTGTGTGCCACTAACCAGGACACAAGAGTTCCCCAGCTGTGCCTATGACTCCACATTAAAATGCACAGGGCAGAACAGGGCCAAGCAAAGGACTGGAAGTAGACTCCAGCTCTGCCTCTAACCTATAGTTCTAGTGCCATGAATAACTCTGGCCTTATCCCCTCCTGATCAAAACTGAGTTACAGTAGAAACACAAAGTGTACTGCCAAGAGTGTTATTTTCCTATCTAAATGGCCACAGGACCTTCCTTTCACAAGGTTTGTGTGTGAATGGCTGGTCTCTGCCTGTCCTTCGGCACCTTGCCTGCCTTTGCTTGGGTCTCGGGCTTGTTCTTAAATGGTAAGGCTTTCTGCAAGGCTTTTGGAATGTGCAGTGAATTAAAATGTTTCTTATGCCTCAGGATTGGCTGAAAAGTAAAACAAAACAAAAACTGGGACCTATTTAGATTATGATCTATGTGTATTTGAAACCCACAAAACCTTCTCACTGAACTGACTTTTCCATAAGATCATTAACACTTGAGTCAGCTGACTCTCAGAAATCAGGACTGAATCATCCATCAAATATGGACTGCCTCAGTGGACACCCACAATTCTAGGCAGACAGAGGAACAAATACAAATAGCTTATACTTACAACTCTTCCAGAAAACCAACTGTGCCCATTTCTATAGTATAAAACTATGAGGTCTCTACACAGCAGGTGCATAAATCCAGTTTCCTCTAATGGAAAATTCAGACCTTGTCTTTGGGCCAGTGAGGTGATTATTTTTTTTCAGCCTAATGAGTATAATAATCTGGCTTTTCATCTTGACTGTCAACCTCTCTGGATTTAAGGACATAGTTTTTCCTCCAATTAGCAGCCAACGTGTCTTCATCCCTGGTTCTAATTAAGAGCTTTAACTTTATTCTGTTTCTGATGGGAGCCTGGCTTTAAAAAGTGAGATTTGAACAACGGACAAAGGCAAACACTGTACATTGAATTTTCAGATTAATTTAAGTTTTATGTTTCATTAATTAAGATGATCAAAATTCTTAACTGCCTCAGAAACATTATTAATAAGTTGAAAGTTGTGCCCTAGTCATTTCACCAAGGTCAACTATATAGATAATATTTCTCCTACGCCCTTAAATTTATCATTAAGGACATCATCCACAATAATATTCCATATTAACTGTTTAGGAACATATATTGCTTTAGAATTAAAGAATTCAGATAAATTTCCTTCTCACAAAAAAGAAGTGGCACCACAAGCTGGACAATGGGCACCACATCCTAAGTATGTTTTAATAAAAATTCATGTAAGGTGTTCCAAAATTTCATTAACTATTTTATGGAAAGAGTAATGTCTGTGAGGCTTCTGTTTCTAGCAGAAACAGATGTATTTATTTTGCAGTAATTTTTTTTTTAGTTTCTTTTGTTTTGTTTTTTGTGACAGAGTCTGTCTCTTTCGCCAGGCTGGAGTACAATGGCATGATCTTGGCTCACTGCAACCTCCGTTTCCCAGGTTCAAGCAATTCTCCTGCCTCAGCTTCCTGAGTAGCTGGGATTACAGGCACCCACCACCATGCCAGGCCAGTTTTTTTATTTTTAGTAGAGACAGGGTTTCACCATGTTGGCCAGGCTGGTCTCGAACTCCTGACTTCAGGTGATCCACCCGCCTCGGCCTTCCAAAGTACTGGGATTACAGGCATGAGCCACTGTGCCTGGCCTTTCTTAGGTTTTTACTATTTATTTATGACAAATATTTGACATCCGTGATTCTTTCCAGTCAAAAGTTCTTTAATACAGTCTTTTGCGCTTGGCCAATTGGAAAATAGAGTCGTGTGACTCACCCATCCTGCGAATGGCCCCACAGGTAGCATACATTTTAAACTGGCGTTAAACCTGCCTGCGATGAGGCCAGGAGCAGTGGCTCACGCCTGCTATCCCAGCACTTTGGGAGGCTGAGGCGGGAGGATCACCTGAGGTCAGGAGTTCAAGACAAGCCTGACCAACATGGAGAAACCCTGTCTCTACTAAAAATACAAAATTAGCTGGTCATAGTGGTGTGTGCCTGTAATTCCAGCTACTTGGGAGGCTGAGGCAGGAGAATCATTTGAACCCGAAAGCAGAAGTTGCAGTGAGCCAAGATTCCACCATTGCTCTCCAGCCTCGGCAACAAGAGCGAAACTCTGTTTCAAAGAAAAAAAAAAAACTTGCTTGTGACGTTATCAACCTTGGTCTGGTTCTTCTGGATGGATTTGTGGTCCTTGGCATCAATGATGCAGCTGCTATCGGACCATTTCCATGGCACATACAGGCACATGAACTCACCACTGTCATTCTGCAACTCAAAGCCACACCTGCTGCCACCACATCGCACACGAGCAGAGAAAGCCATTTTCTGATAATTATTGCATTTGCAATTTCAATTTGTTCCCAAGCTGGTAGTATGTATGTATGCTGTACTTACGTAAAGGTTTTTTGATAAGGTTAAAATTAAAATTTAAAAGTAGAATTGTGATATCTCATTTTGGTATAATTATTTTTTTCTATGTGCAGGTATGCATTGAGTTTTGTTGTTGTTGTTGTTTTGTTTTTGTTTTTGTTTTTTTTTTAAGACAGAATTTCACTCTTGTTGCCCAGTCTGGAGTGGAATAGCGTGATCTTTGCTCACTGAAACCTCTACCTCCCAGGTTCAAGCAGTTCTCCTGCCTCAGCCTCGCAAGTAGCTGAGATTACAGGTGTCTGCCACCACACCCAGCTAATTTTTGTGTTTTTAGTAGAGGTGGGGTTTCACCAGGTTAGCCAGGCTGGTCTTGAACTCCTGACCTAAGGTGATCCGCCTGCCTTGACCTTCCAAAGTGCTGAGATTAAAGGTGTGAGCCACTGCGCCTGGCCTACATTGAGAGATTTATTTATTTATTTATTTATTTATTTATTTATTTATTTTAATAATAATTAAAATTCTGTCACCCAGGGTGGAGTGCAATGGTGCAGTCTGTGTTCACTGCAAACTCCTTCTCCCTGGTTCAAGTGATTCTCCCACCTCAGCCTCCTGAGTAGCTGGGATTACAGGCGCCTGTCACCATGCCAGGCTAATTTTTTTATTTTTAGTAGAGATGGGGTTTCACTATGTTGGTCAGGCTGGTCTCGAACTCCTGATCTCATGATCCGCCTGCCTCGGCCTCCCAAAATGCTAGGTTTACAGGTATGAGTCACCATTCCTGGTCGAGAGACTTTTATAAGAATCTTTGCTAAATATTCATAAAGGTTCTTTCTGGATGGTAACATTTAAGGTGAGTTTAAATTCATATTGTTGTTTGATTTTCTATAATGTATGCATCTTTTCTACAGAAGTCAGTAGAAATTTTGCTGCAAAGTAAAAAGACCTTTTTCAATGGGAAGGATGGGTGAAAACCATTAGAGATATTAGAAGAGGAGTAAAAGTAATTGGGGCCTGCCCAGCAACAGAACAGAGCAGCCTGCTTCACAGAGGAGTGATCCACTAGCTTTGGAAGTACCCCGGCAGAAGAGGATGAAGGGCTGTCTGCAAAGATTTCACCCCGTGCCTCCAGCCCTGAGTTCATGCGTCTGAAGCTATGACTGTGCTGCAGTTGGCTACTGTCCAGCAACATTTGGGAGGCACTGGTCTCATTACAGCTTTTCACTCAAAGCCAACTGGAGGAGGGGTTATTTCAGGCAATGATTCCTAGACACGTCTGTTCTCTTTGCTGACGTGTGGATTCTTGTTAGCTTCAAACACAGAGGCTGTTCCCTTTAATTTGGTTGTTCTATCAACCTTCCCACCTTTTGCCTCAAGTGTTCCTGGCCTTAATTTAGGCTAAATTCACTTCTGTTTATATGGTTCTTCTGCAGTTTCTGCCAACATTCCAGCTATAATTCCATTTTATCTTCCTAATATAGTTGTGAGTTTCAGCATTGCCATGAACTCTGTATATGATCAATAGGGGCATTTAAAATGATGATCTCCTTTTCAGTTATTTAGCAAACTGTGAGACACTTGCTCTATGCAAGAGCACAACTCAACATTGGGTATACACTAGAAAGGAGCCAATAGGAGTAGGAATGTTTATCTGTTTTATTAATCTACTTCCAGCACCCAGGACAAGAAGCAGGGCACAGTAGGTGCTCGACAATGGATTGCTGAAATGAATGCACAAATGAATGAAACACCTTCCTTGCCTTCAAATATCCCCAGCTAATGGAGGAGATAGACATGCTCTTAAATAGAGATATACAAGGTACAGAGTATGTGCAAAGTGCTGTAAGAGCCCACAAGAGGGAGGAAAAAGGTCTTTGAGGATTAAGGAGGGTTTTGAGCTGAGCTCTAATGAATGAATATGAATAGGATTTTGATAGAATGAGAAATCATTGGGAGAATTTCAGGTAGAGGGAGTAGCCCAAAGTACCTTTAGGCAAAAGCTAGTTGTCCAAGTGTGGGAGAGGGAAGGATGCTGGGTGGAGGCAAGGCCAAGGAGAGATTGTGAAGGTTAAATCGAATGATGTTTCAAGCAACTTAGGTGGGGTCCATAGATGGCAGGTGGGAGCAATGGAAGTCTTTTGATCAGCTGAGTGTTAATA